CTAATTCATATTCATTAGGGTCGTTACCTTTCCCCTGAGGCGAAATGCTCTTTATACGATACAATCACATTTTCGTGATCAAATGGAAGGCCAAATAGAATATTATCTCTAATAGAAGCATTCTGGAGCCACGCTAATAAATTTTTTTTTCTTTATCAGCAAAAGAATTTATATATACATATATTTTACAAACATATAAGGAAATGAAATAACCTGTTTGAGAAACGTAAGCAATACCACTCGGCGCACCTCCCAATTTATTCGGAGATTCTATATTCGCCCTAGGCAAGAACACATGGCCGTCTAAACATTCCATTTCTCCTAATAATGCCATCAATAAGCTTGTTTTCCCACAACCCGTGGGTCCGCAAATTATTGACAACTCGTTGACAGGAAAAGATATATTCAAATTTATCAAAGTGAATTTATTCAATGGATTTGACGTGTTTAAATCTACAGAAACGGAAGAATTATCTATTGAATCTTCACCATCTGGCCATCGGAAAGTTGCGTTTTTAAATCCGATATAGGGATCATTAATGCTTGGAATAGGATTTTTGCGATTAAGTTCTGGTTCGTTTAAAAACTTTTCAATACGAGAAATTGAAACTTGAGCTGCATAAATCGTAAGTGTTAGATGTATATTTGTTAAATTTTGAAGTTTAATACAGAACACACCTTGAATAATGGACGTAATCATGAATGGCATTTCGGCAAGGGCATTACCAAGATTATTAAATAGTGCAAGGGCGGTAAATGCAACAGCAGCAGTCAACTCCTTTTAACAAAAATTTATTATATATTAATACAGCTTGATACGACAATTAATAATACAAAAATCGATACTTACGTTGCCTAATAATTTTGTATACGTAAAGAATACAGACAACATGGCTAGAAGAGGTACAGTCGTCCAAAGACCGGTCATATAAACCAATTCCATTAACCGATTTTTGATTTCCTTTAACTCGTTCTCACGAGTGTTCATAACCTTCGCGCGAAAGCGGTCTTCCCATGCAAAAAACTTAATAATACGAATGGCTTGTAGTAGCTATTAATAAAAGCAATTATGCCTTAATTTGTGACGAGAGCAAAAATTATCAAGTTTGAAAAGTATGCTATAGCTATAACCTCGTTAATCACACCCATTCGCTTATCAGTTGCGGTCATAAGACGGTTTTGAATAGTTCCGAATCTCTAAAATCATAATTTATGAATCAATGTCTAATTAATAAACAGGATTATTTGATAACAATATACCTTATTAATAAAGGAAGGTGCTGGATATGTTATAATTATGACCAATACACCTGCAAAGGCTGATACACCAAGCAAGGCGTACAAATACGCTATAGTAATGATGATTTGTAAAGGATAAGAATATACTAGAAGACACAAAATGTTAGAATAATTTCACGTTGCAAGCCCGAGTAGTATAACTTTATCTGTTATTAAAACTCACAATAAAAAATGTAGGACGATGGATCCGAGATTTTTTGAGCGTCAACGGCCATAAGATTAGTAATCTGTCCAATTTTATTTTTAGATTCTTCATTTTCAACAATGCCTGATGTATCTTTTCGAGATAGAGATTTCAGGTATACTTCACCAATGATTATTGCCTACAATAATCAACAGGCAATATTGTTGATAACAGAAATCTTAAAACACTTGAGACAATATTTTTATGTACCTGGCATTTTATGCTCAGATGGCGGCCAATATATAATGCCTGTTGGAAACACAAACTTGGCACCACTGTTGCCAAAAATAATCCCAAAGCATATGAATAAGCCGTCACAAGCGACTCATCTTTATGATTTGGATAGTCTTGAACGTATAATAATAATTTTTGGAGAAAATAAGGCGGAACAAAAGAATGAATCAGAGTCCAAATCATTGAATAAATAAATTGAATAAGAAGCTCTTTTCGAAAGGTTAAGAATAAAGACTTGAGGATAGAAGGCTTTTTAGAAGAATGAAATATTTTTACTATATTTTTGGCTCTAGCAAAACTAGGTAACTCAAAAATATCTTTGTCATCAAGGGTAGATCGAAAGCTTGCTGATTAATGGATTGATCCACGAAAATGTGATTGTATCGTATAAAGAGCATTTCGCCTCAGGGGAAAGGTAACGACCCTAATGAATATGAATTAG